AGGCTCCTCAGCCTCACCTCCTGACTCGCGCGGGTGATCCGGGTAGACCTTGGTGGGAGGAGGCGTTCCGCCAAATATCGAGGTCCTAAACCGTTTAGGGCCTTATACGTAAGCATTAAAACTTTGAAGTTGACACGGAAACAGATGGGCAGCCAATGCAATGCGGCCAGCGTTGGAGAGATGTGTTGATTAGCCAAGGAGGCAGGGCAGGGAATCCTGTGCTCCTGCCAGAGACTGCCGAAGAGGAGGAGGGGAGCACATGCCAGCTGGTGAGTGGGGGATCCAGCTGGGGAGGCAGAGATAGGGAACACATGTGTACAAACTGCAATAAATAAATAAATAAATTAGGAACCTCTGAACTGAGGTTTGTGCCCATCTCTATTTACTACCATTCAAGGCAAGGCTTTATTTATGACAGTTCTTATATCTTAAAGTTATATTGGAATTCTTAAATTTCTGTTAATTGTCTACTATTCTTGTAAATAAAGTTAAAAAATTGATTTTGAGATAAATTGTAATAATTTTTGAAAGCCATCAGAATAAAATTACCTGCAAATAAAATATGTAAAAATCCAGAATAACCATTCAAAAACAACAAAGCGAAGACTAATACAAAACACAGTGTCTGATTCCCCAAATCATGCTGAAAAAGCATTTTTACTTGTTTGTGGGTCATCAGAGGAGAGTGAAGTTAATGAAAATAATCAGAAGAGGCATTTCAAAGGAGCAAGAATATTGGCTACAGATAGGGAGAAAATTGAAGCATGACCTCATAGGTTGAATTTAGATTCCAGGGAGTCTAATGGAGGAGGAGGTGGTAGAAAGAACACTATTTAGGACAGGAGTGAGCAACAGTGGCCCTTCACATGTTTTTCACCTGTAACTCCCATTGACCATAACCAGAATCACCAATGTTGAGAGTTTATAGGTGGTGATTTAAAAAAAAACATGAGACCACCATTGCTAGCCTCTGGCTTAACACTTTGTAGATCAAAATTGGTATCTTAAAGTCAGAAGCAGTAATAGCCCATGGTTTGGATACAGATTTAATTCATGGCTAGACGATACTACCTGAGATTTATGAGAGTTGTAGGCCAGAGCTCTGTATTGTCTATCCATGGACTTAGGTATTTCTAATTTATTTGAGTAATGTATGTGACTGTCTGTTGTAATGTTATTTATTCTCAGGCAAAGTGTCATAATCCATAGGTTTATTTCATAGGATAGCTGATTCTTTGTTTATGCTTTGCGTTGTATTGTCTGTTTTTGTCAGTGGTTGGTAGGGTTGGGGTGTGCTTGTTTGTTCCCTTATATTCACTGCCGGGAGTATGTTTGCCATTAGTTGGGCAGTCAAATCAATCAACCAACCAACCAACCAACCAATCAATCAATATTCATTTCAGTGCATTTATACCCTGCATTTCTTCCACTTCATAGTCCCAGGGTGGCTCATTAAATAGCAGTGGGGGTTGACAGATACATACATTTAAAACTTTAAAATTCTATTACATATGTAATAATATTAAAGGACTATTAAACTTAATTTAAAAACAAACAGCAAAAAAACCAAGTCCAAATAGCATGATAAGATGTGGTTAAACAAAAATGGAAATAAAAGTTTCTGAGTTTCTCATAATAGATAAAGGAGCATCTGATCCCAAGGGCCATTGCAGCTGTTCATATCACTTTAACTGTAGTGAAGTGTACTAGCCCAACATGGTCAGTGTTTTATGGGGTTGCAGAAACAAACTGGTACACATAAACCCGATTAATAATTTTTCAGCATATTCACATTTTCAGTGATTAATCAAAACAATGAAAAAAATTACACATTCTACTTGTTAATGAACAAGACATGGTGACTGAAATCCTGCTGCCAGATGTTAGGCTGAGTAAGATTGGCATCATCTGCCTTACACAGTGTAACTTACAGAACAAGATTTCAGCCAGTGTTTCACTGTAAAAGCAAATCGTTATCTCGGTAGAAGTAAAACTGGATCTGTTATCCATTGTTTGTCTGCCAGTTTATCATGTCTTAGTCTTAGAACTGCCGAGCCGAAAGGGACCCCCATGGCTTATTGAGTCCAGACCCTGTTAAGGAGGTACAGTGGAGAACGGAACTCCCCACCTTTGGCTCAGCCGCCAGAAAGCTAAACCAGTGAGCTCTCCAGCAGTTTAGTATTTGGGGGCATCAACATTTGGAACTACAGTATATCTGAATGGAATTTCTGTATAAACTCCTATAAATTATTTTACTGGTACCAACATGTGAGAGTCTAAATATATGGAAAGAAGTTATTATAGCTATTAAGTGGTAAGTTTGTATGTATGCTTATCGACTGGTTAGTTGCCTGTTTCATTATATATTCATTTCCTTATCAGTAAATTGCTGAATGATGTTGAGACCCTCTTCCTTGCATATATTTTATTCCAAGTCTATTGAAGATTTAAAATAGGAGAGTGTTCCTTAGTACTCTCCCTTTTTGGTAATACTGTATAGAACTGCTGGATAGCTCAGTGGTTTAGGCATCTGGCTGCAGAGCTAGAAGCTGGGAGTTCAATTCCCCACTGTACCTCCTTAACAGGGGCTGGACTTGATGATCTGTAGTGTTCCTTCCAACTTTGCAGTTCTAAGATTATTAATGTTTACAAGATTGTATCAGTACATTAAAGTCTTAAAATGTTTTACTCAGGCAAAAGGGATGGGAAAGAGCTAAGCAAGTTGAGGAATTCTGGCAACGGAAGCGAGAAGCCATGCAAAACAAAGCTCGTGCTGAAGGACATATGGTATGAAATTTCACATTCCTCCTCTACAAATAGTTGGATTTTCTTTGTAATACTCAGCACTCAATATGAACCTGCAAAATATATCAATAATTTTGCAGAGGGACAATAGAGATTTTGCCATTTTTTTCAGCGTAGACCGTAAAAAAGTAAAAGCCAAAATCTTAGGTTTTTTCCACAGGCACACCAACCTGTTTTGTGCATGGTGTTCATTTTTTACCAGTTGTATAAAAATTATAGGGACGTGATGGCATGCCTATAATTATTTTTACTTATAAGTAAAAATTATAAGACTTTACCTTCCTGCACACAACTGTGCTTTTTACTTTCAACAGCACTATCTCTAGCTTACATAACTAAAAGCTGGAAATTACTAGAGGAGTCCATGGGGCATTCCACCTACAGTGGTTGTACTATATGATTGAAATTGTATTCTGGACATTAATTCTAATGAATCCGGTTCATCAAGGTGTAACATTATGTTGCAAGTATGCCAGCGGTTTTGCACAGCAACATGGGCACATGCTCAAGGCAATCGTGCAGTTAGTTGTGTAATTCCTATTTTGGTCAATTGTATAGTGTGCCAGCAGAAGGCAGCACCTTTAAGGCTATATAATCTTAAAATACTTACATGGAAATAAATTCCATTAAAGGTCAGTAGGACCTCTAAGTAGAAGCTACCAATTCAAATTAATTGTTATAATTATAATTTTATGATTTTATATATTTTATATTGTTCTGTTTTATCTATGTAAGCCACCCCGAGTAGACATGGTCTAGAGAGGCGGGGTAAAAATCCAATAAATAAATAAATAAATAAACAAACAAACAAACAAGCCTATGGGATTATGCTATAGTTTAATTAAACATTTTCTGCAGAGTTACCATTTTTCTTGGTAAGTTTTTCTGCTGCATTGGAAGATGTTTCTGTTGCTGTGCAATATTTATGGCAAACTTGCCAGGCAGTGTGATCGGCTTCTTTTGGGATGACAAGTCCTGTATGTATATTGAAGTGCCATTCTTATTGAAGTGAGACTTGAAGCAAGAAATTGCAGTTTCCTAGCAGATGAACAGTTCCTGGTTAGCCTTAGATTCTTATGTTTTCTCTTTCTCCAACATTTGAAAGGGATCAGACATCCACATTCCAAGAAGCCACAGACATTACAGTGAATTGTAGCTCATTTAAAGTTGCAAGCAAGGTCTTTACCATGTTTCTCCGAAAATAAGACAGGGTTTTATATTAATTTTTGCTCCAAAATGCATTGGGGCTTATTTTCAGGGGATGCTTTATTTCACAGTCATATCTTCTTCTGGTTGCTGCACAATGCTGCACAATGGTGGAGGGCGGGGTTTCATTTAACTGGGGCTTATTTGGGGGGGACAGCTTATATTACAAGCATCCTGAAAAATCATATTAGGGCTTATTTCCAGGGAAACGGTAGCTTTTTGCTCTACAGCATCAGGTTAGGTCTTATTTCCAGAGAAACGGTAGCTTTTTGCTCTACAGCGTAAAATAAAGTTCACATTAGACTAAGACATGTTGTGGGTCTTTTGCTTAATAGGAAACCATGCTTTCCTATTATATCTGAACCAAGACACAGCAATCTTTCTCTTTCAACTTTTACCACAATTAAGTTCTGTGTTCATATGACTTCTGTGTAAATTCCACCATCTGACCAAACAAAGATCACAGTTTCTTAGTGCAAGCTGATTTTAGTACTCTGCATACAAAACCTAAACTTCAATAACTCTTTTATGGAAAGCCTCAAACTTCTAGACTCACTCCAAGGGCACTTTCATTTATTTTATAGCTACAGCTTGTCTGATGTACATTTACTCCATTGAATAAGTCTGTCTTTCATGCTGGAAGATATGTAGTATATAAATATGAAATGTGCACATAGTATAATGTGAATGCTTGCCTGATGGCTCTTGAGATCAGAACTCTGATCTGAATTATTCAAAGGAATGTTAGTGTACAAATAAAATACATAATTTCTATTTTATAATTTTAGGTGTGTATAAAGTAGTCCCTTGCCTTTTAAAAAACAACCATAAACATATGATGTACAGTACTGTAAACAAACTAGAAGTTGGCAGTCATGTACATATTTGCATATGCTCAGATCCCTTTAACATTCAAAAAAGAAAAGATTGAGAGCATTTGTATATTTCCCAAATAGCAGAAATAAATACAAAAATATGACCATCCCCTCAGTTTGCATTGCTTTTCTTGTTTGAGATAGTGTTTCATCCTCCCCCCCTTTCCATCTCTGAAAATGGAAGTTGCACTATATACTGCAGGCTGGAATGACCCACCTTCAGTTTTTAAAAGGATAGTTTGAGGTTATATCCCATATAGTATATGTGCAAGTATAAGGCAGCTAACACTACTAACCTTCCTCTTTCCCTGCTCACTTCCATGCACCCTCCTGCATGTTAATATTGTTTGGGACTACCATGTGAATGAGAATAGAGAATCCTGTATCAGTGGAACAGGGACTTCATGAGAAAGGGAGGCAGAGAAAAGGTGGTTCACAAGCTCCTTTTGCACACAACACTGGATACAGTCATTCTGTAAATTGCATTGGAGTAAATTCATGGCATTTTCCACTCTGAGATGAAGGGCAAAGTCAAGGTTTTTGTGGAATCATAAGATGCTGCTATGAGTAAGTAAATATAAAAGGGTAAATAAATATAAAAGGCATATAAGCAATCTGAAAATGAAACATTTCACTTAATGAATCATTGCATAAGAACCAGTATCAGTTGATACAATCAAGGACAGGGTTTTATACAAGCCTTAACACTGGGACTAAGGAGATCCATATGTGAGTTGCCACTAAACCATGACATTCACTCAGCAACAGGGCCAGTTGGTTCTTCTCAGCCTGACCTTCTATGTAGGATACTTCTTTGAGCTGATGGGTTCAGAGTTGGGATGTTAAGGAATAATAATAAGGACGATGATAATTATAATACTAATAAATTGTTTGTAACAATATCCAGATTGCTGAAGTAAGAAAAGCCTAGTGTTATGGAGTTTGCCTTTGTTGTGCACTCCACAAGGTTTAGAATTATTTTGTGCTCTTACTAGGGAGCGTGCCTGGTGTTCCCAAAGTGTATTTGAACTGTTAATTTTCTGTCACCTCATTTCACAAGTTGAGCTTGGAACACTTTTTTGAATCAAAGCAGACTTTTGACTTCAAATCAAATATCCTATCAAAAGCCAAAAATCTATACCATCCTCTGCAGGAAGGAACCAGTTATTTTTGTCACCATGAGATATTTGTTGCAGTTTGTCTGAACAAACTCTCAGCTTTCCAAAATTATCAACTACAGCATAGTAATTTTTTATAAATACTTAGTTTTAGCTTTGAACATATTACCACTTACAATATGGCTTTGTCTTTGTGGTTTGCATCTACGTATGTCATCCCAGTTACTTAAGAGTTACAAAAAAAATTATCAAAGTGTGATTCCACTGAAAACTTGTTTTAAGATGCCTTAAAATGAAAGTTTATTTTGAGATAAAAGTTTGACAGTGCAATTCTAAAACAAAAATTAGTTTTAAGCTCATAGTAATTAAAATTCCTAGTAAGCACATCTACTACTATAAAAAAGTGCACAAAGTTCTACTCCCAACCTATCTTACTGTCTTAAAGGCATCCTAAATGATAAAATACATAGACAAAAAAAGAGTACTTGGGTAATTAGAAGATACTTAAGAATGCGCTTCTGCTTTATCTTGAGTTAAACATTCCTTGTTGATAATTATCAGTATGTTGATAAATATAAGGGTAGATAATGTGATGGCCCAAGCTCTTCTTGTATTTAATACATTAAATGGTGAACAGGACACACTGCAAAACCTGGCAGCTATCTATGGAGGCAGGCCTATTTCTACAAGAGGAAGGAAAACCAGAAACAAGGAGGAAGAGGTATGCTTCCTGCATGTTTGCTGCCATCATTACACACATAGAATCCCTTTTCTCTCCTTCATTTTTCTGCATGGATTGTCATATATTATCAAAACAAAGGGCTTCTCTCTAGATTTCTAATAAGTGTCATATGCAATTCCTAGATATATCATTTTGATGAATTAACGTAAGTCTGTCACTGGAAACAAACCATTCATCTCTCCTTAAAACACAATAAGCCCTCATTGCCTTAATAAATATAACTACATGAATGGATCGGCTGAACCACTGAATTCACTTATAAATATAGTGATGCCACTTTTCAGTGAGAGTTGTCCCATTAATTTATCACTTTATGACAACTATTTAGTTTGTTAAAATATATGCATTATTGTACTCTTCTTCTGACAGAAATACCTCTGTGATTTTATGTTCTCCCAGGAATATCTGGCAAGGCTAAGACAAATTAGACTTCAAAACTTCAATGAACGCCAGCAAATCAAAGCTAAACTTCATGGAGAGAAGGCAAGTTGAAATTGTTATTAGCATACATAATGAAGTCATTTTATTTTAGTTCCATTTTCAGTTCTGTATGCCTCTAAGTAAAAGTGCTGTCTGCTTTGTCAACTGAACTAAAGTGATGTTTCTATTTTGCCTAGTTGAGTTCCGCTAATGCTGTCCTGAAACTAGTGGTGAGAGCTTTCTTAACAAGAACAGGCTTTAAATTGGTACATATAGAGTCGCAGTTCTAAGAAGTGGCACTTGACGCTGCAGTAGCCACATGCTACATAACCGTCTTTTTGCCTTTAGCTCATCACATTGATCAAATGATGAAGCCATGCCATTGCAAATAGACCCTGAAAAACATACAAAAAGAATTTGAATTCATTGTCTCCATGTAGCACTTAGTTCATGTGAATCACTCAGCTATCCTGCCAGCTAATGTTATTGAAAGAACATGGGAAAGCAACAACAAAATAATAGTACAGGTCTTTCATAAGGAATGTATAAGCTGATATAGAACCTCGCCATAAAATTATATTTTATGAGGTAAAAATTATGTAAACATTCACATCATTGCAATCTGTGTCAAATTTGAATATCGCACCAAAGAGAGGCTGGTGGAAAATAAGTCTTGCCTTTCCTGTTACTGTAATGGAAGGACACTATGTGTTGAAAAACAATCAAACTCACCAGATCGAATTGTTTTCTTTCTAACTCAGTATTTTCTTTAGGATACATGTTCTTATGTGCACATAAATGACTTTTCAGTGTTAGTTCCACTGCAGGGTACACATTAATAGGCAGCACCTTTTATAGCCAATAGTCTTTCCCAGCTCTGTGAGATGTTGTGAACTGAAACTGGGACCATTTGTTTGCAAAGTTCAGGTACTGTCACTGAGTGATTGTGGTTACCTTTTTTAGTGAGCAAAGTGCAATCTCTGCTTCATGTTCTTATGACTCACACACATGAAGTTATTCTGTGCCTGCCCAAAGCACTTGTGAGCCTTAAACAGTTGGGTAATGTCTCTGGGTAGGGGCCCTGCCACATCCCATAGCACACGTGACACTTTTTCATTGAAATACTTAGTCATAGTTGTGCTTAGTAGTTTTTCCTTCTCCTTTTAGTCATCTAATATCTTTCTGTCAAATCCTTTCTTTTAAGGTTGCGTATTTATTTTTTTCTGTCAGAAAAAGTTTGGACATTTCTTTCTGTCTTTTTTTTCCTATTCCTGGTTCTTTTGACCTATAGCTGCAAAGGCATGGGTCATAAAGGGCTCAGGCTTCAGGGATACATGTCCTTTCCATTGTTTCTTTTTATTCAGATGAGTCCATATGCTCTGCTCCAGCTGGCATTGCCTGTCCTTTAAACCAGTGGTTCTTAACCTTGGGTTACTCAGGTGTTTTTGAACTGCAGCTCCCAGAAATCCCAGCCAGCACAGCTGGTAGTGAAAGCTCCTGGGAGTTGAAGTCCAAAAACACCTGAGTAATCCAAGGTTAAGAACCACTGCTTTAAACCACAGGCCACGACAGATAGAACTTTGCTCCTAGTCTTTTGGGAACATGTGATTAAGAGCAGTGGCCTCAGATATTTATTTGAGACCTCCTCAAGTACTAGAACTTTGCTCCTAGTCTTTTGGGAACATGTGACTAAAAGCAGTGGCCTCAGATATTTATTTGAGACCTCCTCAAGTACTAGAACTTTGCTCCTAGTCTTTTGGGAACATGTGACTAAAAGCAGTGGCCTCAGATATTTATTTGAGACCTCCTCAAGTACTGATGGCATGACACCTTTTCTCTCCCAGTAAATTCATTTGCTAATCTCCCATGTGTGAGAGTCACAAAACAGTTTACTTATAACTGAGTTTTATATCTGAAGTAAGACACCTCTTGCATTCCTTTGTGGAATAGCCTGCCTTGTTACAGTTTACTTATAATTGAGTTTTATATCTGAAGTAAGACACCTCTTGCATTCCTTTGTGGGATAGCTTGCCTTGTTTTAATATTCTCATGGCTGAGGGAATAAATAAGAATCACATTGAGACATGCTCAGTGGCAGGAAGCAAGTTTCCCACCAAAAGGCATTACTCAGTTATAAAAGGCTCCAGGGTACACTGTACAAGTGGCCTATGTGTCATTTCACAGGTGACCATCTGAAGAACTAGTTATAGGTAAGAAACTTTTTCTTTCATTGCTCAGGCAACAGCTTGGATGTTTGGGTGCTTATATTTGACAGATAGCATAGCTAATCTACCAGGATTGGTTCTTTTTGTGGTCATATTCTGCAAAGCGCAACCCACATGAATTATCTCCTGAGTTACCTCATTGTGAGTTTTTAAGTGAATACCACATAGTACAGTGGTACGTCGCTAGATGACGACCCCGCTGTGCGACGAAACCTCATGATGATGACTTTTTGCGATCACTATAGCGATTCGCAAGACAGTCATTCCTATGGGGGAATTTCGCTTGATGATTTGGTCCGTGCTTCGCGGACCGTTTATTCGCAAGACAATGGTCTTTACAGCTGATCGTCTGGTTCCTAAAATAGCTGCTCTGTGTTTTCCGAACCCATGCTTCGCAGGGCAGCCATTTTAACAGCTGATAGGCGCTCGGAAAATGGCTTCCCTATGGGTGATCTTCGCTGGACAACGCGGTAATTTCCCCATTGGAACGCATTAAATGGGTTTCAGTGCATTCCAATGGGGAAAGGCTTTTCGCATGACTACGATTTCGCTTAACAGTGATTTTCCCAGAACGGATTATCGTTGTCATGCGGGGCACCACTGTAATATGTTTTGTAATATCACTTAAAGATACATCTTGTTTCCAGTTATCAGAATGGAAGCAGACACCTTAAGATCATAAATGTAGGCTAAATTTTAGAATTAGGGGCTATAGAGAGTCAGGTAAGTTTTCTCTGAACTGATACTGGAATATTTGTTAAACTTTCTGTATTTCTGTCATGCACTCTTCCAGATTAAATTAGTAGAAAATCTCTCAAAATGCAGGGATCCAAACACGTTTCCAAACAGTGACAAGATTGCTAGACTATAATGGATAGTCTCATAAAGCTCGTGATAGTCTCGTATTTGCAAAGCAATAAAGTTTAAAAGTTGTGGTTATAGCTACAGTTGTAGCTGTACATCTCTTCTGGTATACACCTGTAAATATGTACATCAGGTTTTTCTATCATCATTGTTTTCCAGAATGAAGCAGGTGGTTCTCCAGTACATGAAATAAATGAAGAAGCAGAACTAAGGCGTAAAAAAATTGAAGCACTAAAGGTAACAGTGAATGAGAATAATGAAAACAGATTTTCTTGGTTAGGTTAAAATAACTGAATGAATGAGATGCTATCTGTGAATTTCTTTGCTCGTATCAGCGGAAGAGGGGTAATGACGCTTATCTAAAATTGTATTCAGGATACCCAGCTCTACTTGCTGGTTGTCCTTTTCTTAAGACTGTTTGAATTATTGGAAACAAGTCTCTGGTGAAAGACTTGTATTGGAGTAGGAAAAAGATTGGTATGTGGAATAATCTTGCCTGCATGTTACAGTGCCTGAAGCCTCAAATCAGTTAATCTCAGCTAGAGGAAACCCAATGAATCAGTGATAAATCAATAATTATGTAAGTTCTGTTGGTTCAGTGGGGCTACCTTTTTGGGGACCAGGAACTGGATGTAGGCTGTAAACTTCAGTGTGCCTACCTTACATAATTTTTATTCACTCTTTAAAGAAATTGTGGTTTAAATAGCTAGCTCCAGAATATTGGATAGTCCTGAATAAATACAAAAGAGTATACAGAAAATCACATACTTGAAGGTTACACTGGTGATTAGATATTTGCTTAAAATTTAGAAAGAAGCATATTTTTACTGGTGGGGGGAACCCTGCTTTTCTGCCACAGGCACAAGCAGATGCCCGGGCTGCAGTCCTGAAAGAACAATTAGAGCGAAAAAGAAGAGAAGCATATGAAAGAGAGAGAAGAGCTTGGGAAGATCATGTAAGAAATGTTAATCTTTCTTACATTCTCCGTTTGATACTCCCTATCTGCTTATGAGATTTCTACAAAGAAAATTTTCATTAGGGATTTACTGGTTTTTTTTCCTTAGACTGCTTTGCCCGCAGTACTGCAACAGATTCTTTTGAGTCTTGGACCCATGGAATATGGCAGAAACCCCAAAGAGTTGAATTTCTGTGTCATCAATTAGAAATGAAGACCAGTTCTAAAGTTATTTGAATGTTCTATTTAAAAAGGGAAAGTTTTGCAACTTTATCTTCTCTGGGTGATGCTGCCCACTTTTTGCATTCACATTCTAATTTCTACTATCTAAACATCTTCCTCTTCATTTTTTTCTCTTTCGGTGTTGAATCCTGGTGGAAAATATCCTCGTTTTTTTCTTTCATATCCTTTCTTCACTCTCCCTCCATATCCCCAGGGCCTGGCAAGTAGAGTGAGGAAAGAGTTCTAGAAAAGAAGAGACATATATGAGCGATGTGGTGAAACCATGAGCCAAATAAAACTATAAGTACACCATTGGCATTGCACCTCCCTGCTAATACTCATTCGTCTTTTGGAAAGGACTGCCCTCTGGCAGACTGTGAGGAGGTGCCTGGAATTGTACAGGTCTCGGCTGTGGCCAGGAGTGCATTTGCACAATTAAAACTAATGTGCCAGCTACATTCATTTCTTGAGAGAACTGATCTGACCACTGTGATACAAGCCCTAGTTACTTCCCAGCTGAAGTAATGTGCTCTATGTGGGGTTGTCGATGGAAAGTGTCAAGAAACTTCAACACGTCCAAAACGCAGCAGCCAGATTGCTGTCTGGGGCTAGTGACAGGGATCACATAACCCCTCTGTTGCAGCAGCCTCACTGAATGCTGATCAATTACTGGGCACAATTCAAAGTACGGATTTTAAGCTATAAAGCCCTAAATGACCTGGCTCCAAGCTGTCTCAAAGGCCGTATCTCCCATTATGAGCCAGCTTAGGAGTTAAGACCATCAGGAGAGGCCTTTCTCTCCTCCTGCCACCTTCATAGGTGCATCTGATGGGAACACAGGAGAGAGCCTTCTCTGTTGCTGCTCCCAGACTTTGGAACTCCCTCCCACAGGAGGCCAGACTGCCCCCCCCCATCTTTGGTATCCTTTCACAAGCAGGCAAAGACCTGACGGAAGGTCAGCTTCATTGTTTAACAGGGCAATGTTAGGTCAATGAAGCAAGAGGGACAGTGGTTGAAGAGCTGTTACAGAAAAACTTTGGGCAAGTCTGACCACAATTTTCTACAAACCATCTAAAACAGCGGTCCCCAACCTATTTTGGACTGCGGACCAGTTGGGGAGGGGGTGCTGGGTCCGTGTGCGGGGGGGCAGGGGCACCCCTGCACTCGCAGGTGGGCATTTCAGGCTTGCAGAGTGGTGTGTCACGCTTGTGAAGGGGTGGGTCATGCTGACAGGTAGGCATGTCACGCTTGCAAGGGGCATGTCATGCTTGCACGCATGCATGTGAGCATGACACGCCTGCCCACAAGCGCAGCATTGTCATGCTTGTGGAGGGGTGTGTCATGCTGACAGGTGGGCGTGTCACACAAGGGGCATGTCATGCTTGCACACATGCATGTGAGCATGACACGCCTGCCCGCAAAGCGCAACACACCCAGCATGCGTGGAGGGGTGGAGATCCGTGTCCGCGGCCCAGTTCAAGGAAGCCCATGGACCGGCATGGGGCCGTGGACCAGGGGTTGGGGCCCCTAATCTAAAAGATATTACTGCAGCAATAAGGACAGCTAAGAAGCCAAGGTATCTGACCCTTCCTTCCTTCCTTCCTAATATTTATATGCCACCTTTCTCTTAAAGGATCCAAGGCAACTTACAATTGCATCCACACACACAGTAGAACAATAACACTTTTCTGAATTGTCCAAAGCCTTCTGTGCTGAGGTGCAGGAAAGGTGGTGCCAGAGCAGCTGGTTGCTTGTTGTGAGCCATTTGCTATGTGTTTTGCAAAGTCCGTCAAATTAACCTTCAACTACCCTGTCTTCCAAAACTTACCTAAACCATCTACCTCCTCAAAGCAGCTCTGCTGCCCTCACCTTCTTTCCCACCAATCACAGAGTCATATTATAAAATGTTCCCCTGCACACCAAACTGCCTCTTTTCTTACCTTCATGGTGGTTTTCTACATGACTAAAACTTCAGTTTAGGTGAGTAACAGAACTGGGAGCCCTCTTGATGAGGGATCAGCAATATAAAGTCAAGAAGGATGTGGTCACTTTCATACTAGAGCCATCCTTCCTACTGAAAAGTAACACTTTCCTGAAGAACTCGCAAACAGATGTTTCAGTTCTTCTGCCTTACTTCTTCCCACGTCTTCAAAAGGCTGTGCCATAGGGTAGATATACACAAAACACTAAAATATATCTTAGGAGAAACAAAAAGTTCAGTACTGGTTCGTTTTTTTCAGTTGATTTTTGTGAAGTAGAAAAGTAATTAAATCCACACATGCTGGTTGAATAAAAGCCTGTATCATGCTAGCATATGGTTCAGCTCACATTCCTAGACCTGTGAACATCGCAACAAATTCCCCTAGAGTAGTAATAATCACAACAGCATTTCCCAATAACTCTTAAGGGGCAGCTTGGGTACCTCCCACTCTTTCCTGGTATCTCCTGAGCATTGAGAGAATGCTAATCAGAATTTACCATGAAGAACCATTGTGGGGTGGTACAGGGAAGGCATAAGAACGTAAGAAGAGCTCTTCTGGATCAGGCCAAGGGTCCATCTAGTCATCTGGGAGTATATGAGACAACTAGATACCTGTCTGCTGATACCACTCCCCTGCATCTGGCATTTTGAAGTACCAACCAGCTGTATCATATATTTTGGTTGATGGAAGCCTTGAGGTACTGTTCTTTTTGAATTACCCATTTTTTGAAGGAACAAGGTTTCTCCCTCATCCTTTCCTCTTTACTTTAATGGCTGCTTTCCTAACCGTGCTCAGCTGCATACAGAAGTTGAGGTGGAATCGAGAGACAGCATCTTTTACTGAAGCTCCATCACTTGCCTTTGTTTCTATGTAGTACTCAGAAGATGGCAGACTCTTTCAAATTCCTCCCTAATGCCACTGCAGAGCAGACCTTAATGATCAATGTACCATTTTTGCACAATATGGAGTATTTCATCCTAGTACTCTAATACAGTATGTATACATTATATCCATAGCTGGTAGTTAAAGGAGTAAAGAATCCCATGGGAGCTGCAGAGATGAGTCCTACTCATGGCAGGAAAGAAGTTGGAGGATCTCCTACCAAGCTGATAAAGCCCAGTTCACCACCACAAAACATTTCAATGACATCCGCTTTGAAGGAGGTGGGCGTGGTAGGTATTTTAACAGAGGCAAGTTTTACACTGAAGTTTAACACAGACAAATAAAAAAAATCTGAATGACATGCTGAAACATTCACCTCTCTTTATAATTCTTTAGGAAATATTTTCTTATCATATCCATTTTTTTTAAATGCTATTTTTGTGGACTGCCAGAACTTAACTGGCGAATCCTATTTTAAAAGGAGGATCAGATCTGACTGTTACTTGTACAGGTCCATTCCTTGTACAAAGGTTTATGAATTGGCGTGATTACTTTAGTAGAGTAAATAATGATGCATGTTGAGGGAGGGAGTGTCATATTACATGTTTTTGAGGCACAGGAAACGTAATTTTTCAATATTAAATGTGGAATCAACCTTCTGGCTGACCTGCTGGACAGTTACACAAATGAAGTAACTCTTGAAAGTCAGTTGCTGTAAATTAAGAAATCTTTGTAGACATTAGCTGTTGTGTCATGAGTTGTGCAACAGATAAGATCTACGGAAATGTCTTGGTTTACCATAGTGTCTCTAAATGTTATGCCATTTGTGTAACTGAAACAGGATTTCAACCTTCTTTTAAGACTGAATATACAGTGGTGCCTCGCAAGACGATGGCCTCGCAAAACGATGAATTCATATAACGATGAGGTTTTGCGACCGCCATTGCGCTTCGCAGAACAGTGTTTCTTATTGGGGAATTTCGCTATACGAGTAGGAGAGCGTGCCCAGTTCCCCTCCTCTTCTTGGTTTCCCTCCCACACCAAACGACGCTTATCGGAGGCGGCGGCGTAGGAGCGGCGGCGAGGGGGCGGCTGGGGAGTGGAGGGCATTGCGAGCAGCTTCGTGGACTAACGGGGTTTCCTGGCACAATGAGGCAAGCCCAGGATTTCCCCTTACCTCCTTACACGAGCGGGACAGCGCGCACTGGTTCCCCTCCACCCCTTTTGCTTCCCTCCCCGCCCACAACAAGCAAGTCTAGGATTTCTTGCCTGCTTCTCATCATCCAAGCAGGAAGCGCGCGCCGGCTCCCCGCCTCCTCTTGGTTTCCCTCCCCTCCCAAACCAAGCAGCGCTTACCGGAGGTGCGTCTGGGGAGTGGGGGGGGGGTCGCAAGAGGCTTCAGGGATGACCTGGGCTACTTGGGAAGCTAGCAGCAGTGAAGTTTTTCCCAGGCTGATAGCAGAAGGAATTCCCTCCCCGGGCGCTTTTAGCCTTAGTTTTCGCCCTTTCGGTGGGGCGTTCCTTTCACCATCAGGGCATGGGCTGCTGGGACGTGGAGGGAGAGGTCCCCTTTGTTTTTGCCAGCCACGTGTGCACTCAGGAGCTCCCTTCCAGCGCTGAGCAGGGGTTTCCTGGCCTGGGGCTCGGGAGGGGGAGGTTCCCTCGTTGCTAGATGGGCCGTGTCTAGCAGTTCCTTTTGTTTTTGCCAGCCACGTGCGCAAGCAGGAGCGCCCTTCCAGAGCTGAACAAGGGCTCCCCTGCCTGGGGGAGGCGAGAGGGAGGTTGCCTTTGTTTTGCCGGCTCCCTTTCACCGCGCCACAGGAGTCCCCCGGACGGAGTTGAGAGGGGAGATCCTGTGGGCATTAACTGGGGCCAGTTGGGCACAGAGGAGCTCCCTTCCACCAGGGGCTATCAGCAACATGAGGCTTGCGGGGGCAGCCAGCCATTGTTCAGTTTAATTCAACAGCTGATCGGCGGCTCCGCAAAATGGCTTCCCTAGGGTGCTTCGGAAGACAGCGATTTAAAATGGCTTCCCTATGGGCGATCTTCACACAACGACGACTATTTTCCCCATTGGAACGCATTAAACGGGTTTCAATGCATTCCAATGGGGAAACTCTTTTCGCAAGACGATGATTTAGCTAAACGGTGATTTCAATGGAACGCATTATCATCGTCATGCGGGGCACCACTGTATTACACGAACATCCAGACTATCATTGTTCAGCTTTTTGGACAGTACTATTTTTTCCATATTCTTATTTTTAATAATTACTGGAATTGACACCGTCTCTCGCGGTATGCTATTAATTTAAAGGATGAAAGTGCAACAGTTATCCAAGAAACACCAGCAGAAGTAAAGCCTGATACTGCTGTTCAAGTAAGTTTGTTGTTGTTGTTCTACTTCATAATTGTTGTTTGGGGAGGGGTTTGTTTGTTTTTTGTTCACGTTATTTCCACTTTTCTTCAGAACAAACGAGAAATACTAAGGAGACTCAATCAAAACCTTAAAGCACAGGAAGATGGGAAAGAGAGAAATGAGTCTAAAAGTATCTGTGAGAAAGCTACAGCTGATGAGAATAATCAGGATCAAGAAGAAGAGTATCCAGTTTTAGCTGATCGTAAGAAATGGGAAGCAGGTACACAACTTGTGGTTCCACTAGCAGAGCTGACAATGGAAGAATCCTTGTTGGCTACAGAAGGTAAGTTACCTTTGTTTAAGCCTGTCAGTACAGTATTATGTGGGTACATATTCATATATTTTTACCATATCAGCTAAGAACAAAATGTGCACTTGTTAGGAAGTATAATTCAAATTATATTTTGTGATGCCTGTACGTGCTCATAGATGCAATAAGGTGCAGCATTCAAAATCATGTGGTTTGAATAAGTTGGTGTGTTACAGTTGTCACAAAATTTAATGTTCTTCATTTTGATTGATTGATTGGTTCATCTAAGTGTAGAAGACAGTCTCATTCTCTTGTCCTAACATCATCCTCAAATAGCATCTGTTTGTCCTATTAAAAATGCACCCAAAGTTCAGCTGCAAATTTAATTTCCAGAGGATTACTAAATCCTTTCTTTGAAATATCTTTGTTCATTTGTTTATTACTGTTAATTAATTCTGAGGTGGAATTTTTTAGAAAAAGGAAATAGCAATTGATAATATTTTATAAATTCCTGTAGGGAAAATCTAGCCCTAACCAAATAATTTGTCCTTCCAAAACACCACACAGGTTTTTTACTTTAATGCAACTAACTCTTAATAGTGCTGAATGAAAATATTTTGTATTTGCTGTTGCTAGAATCTTTGGACATTGTGTTTTCAATTTACACATTCTAAGAACAAATGAAATTCTAACAGACTGTTGGCTTTTAAAATAGGGATAATTGTGCAGATTTGTCTTTCCTTGAAAATAGAAATAAAAACAGGAACCATCTTCCCTGTAGCTTCTATTTTTTAAAAAATTCTGCTAATGTATCAAATATTTTCCTGCAGCCAATACATTAGGTGAGGTTATTACGGTAGATGTTGCTGAACCCCAGAGAAAAGTCTGGGGCAAAAGCCCCACTGATTCAGTGTTGAAGATTCTTGGAGAGGCTGAGCTACAACTTCAAACTGATCTGCTAGATGACTTAAGCATTAACAATGGTAAGGATTGATACAGATTGGATGTTAAACCCTTGGAGGGGCTTACTTTTTACATTATACTCTATGGAAATGGTAGTTCCTTGCACTATGAGCCATGATATTGTATTATTTTCTCAGTTCACCTTATGGCAGCATATAAATTGTGACTAAATTCGCAGGACAAAACCAAAACAGTAAAATCACAAGAAACCAGTATAGGCACTATGAGAAGAAAATGACCAATACAATTCTATTTTATTTAAAAATTGAATTACCTTTGCAATAACGTCATGATTTATATGCATACTTTACTTTGACATATTTTCACTGTCATTTTATATTGGCTTAGTATGTTTCAGAACGTTTGCCTTTTAAAACTTCATGAGTGAAAAAAATCTGAATGTTGATGTATCACATAGACATTGATGGCACCAATTTAAAAAAATACAGTGCAATTTCTTGACATTTATGAATTAATACTTACTAAAAATATTATCATTTACAAATAGTGTAAAGATGCATTTTTTTCCTTGTAGCAGAGGAGTCTGCTATGGATCAATCATTAAATATAAAAATCTTGCCCTCTTACTGTGCTAAATCAACTTGAAGCAGAGGAAATATAACATGGTAATGGTTTATTATTGCATTTCAGAGGTTTCAGAGGAAGCTATGACATTAAGAGAGAACACTGAAACAAAAGCAGCATCACCTGTTGGAAAAGAATCAGCAACTGAAGTTGGTAACACTGAAAATATGACAACAGAGAAGTCTCATCCACCTCAGTTAGAGCATCTGTTGTCCAAGCCTCATCTCATAGATGGTATGACTTTCCCATTTCAAATTCACACAAATATTTCCAAGTTTAATATGGAGCCATGAAATAAGTTTGATAACATTTGGAGAATTTGTACAATACAATATGTTGTCACCAACAGCACAGACAAATTGTGTAAAAGAAACAAAACAAAAATTAAAAGTAAGAACAAAATTACTGTAGCACCTTAACATTTTTGTTTTGTTTTTGTTATACATGCTGAAGTAGAGTAAAAAGGCTACCTCTTTCAAAAACGTACAAAAATTTGAATGCTTTATCATACGGGTCTCGGCCAGATGGAGTATGATGCCGTACACAGTTTCGAAAACATCATCATCAGAGAGGCAGATAAGGGCAGAGCTGTAGTGATCATGTACAAGTTGAGTTACACACAGGAAGCACAGAGACAATTTTCCCACTCTAAATTTTACTAACTGCAGACTCAGCTGTTGAATAGCAAGAAGAATTATGAAATCCAATGAAAAACTTTCCTGGAAATATAGGTGACCAAATCCTTGCTGACACACCATAAGAACCTCAACCAGCCACCTTCCACATGCTACCAAAAAACTGACACACCATAAGAACCTCAACCAGCCATCTTCCACATGCTACCAAAAAAACCCCACACAAACTGGGCACCTATGGCAGACTCATTTTATGAAGCATCAATACCATCACTGTTGGAGTATCTGGATACTTGGGCTCTGTCTTCAAACCACATGCCATCAGTGTGCTTAACTATGTAAGGGATATTACAGACTTTCTGAGGAATTTGCAGTCAACTCATGACCCCTCTGACAGCAGCATCTTAGCCACATTGGATGCAGATATCTTCTACACTAGCGTCCCACACATAGATGGAATACACGCCATTAAGGATACCATTCAAAGTGAGAACACAGACCCTGCCCCAAATCACTCCCATCTGTGACTTTGTACACACACACACACCTGTTTCACCTTTGACAACAACATCTGTCTCCAGATTAATGGAACTGTCATGGGAACCCATATGGCACCACAGTATGAAAATATATTCATGGTTGCCCTGTCAAAAATGCTTTTAAACAGTTATATCTCAAATAGAGAAGTGATTTTTAAAGTACATTTTTTAATCTAAACTCTGGAGAAATTCCACCAGGACTTCAGTAATTTGCATCCTGACATCAACCTCTGCCTTCTTTCTTTCATTATTCATCTCAGAGTGTTGCACGATTTAAAATTATAGACATATAGGAATTATAGGTGAATTTTTAAAAAAATCTCTACTCAGACCATTCTACACATCAGGTGCACTTTCAGGACACCACTATGAAGCTACAACATGGACATCTTAGCATCACATTTTATTGAAAACCCACCAAAAGATATACATACTTGCATGTCTCCAGTTTCCATCCTGAACACACCACAAGATTTATTGTCTGCAGTTAAGATATAACTGCAGATATAATTGCCCGTGCTCATATCTACAAGATAGAGACGCCAAACTCATGAATATACAAAAGGCATTTCTTAGACTACATTAGCCACCCAATATGATTAAAGAATAAATTAACCTGGCAAGATGAATATTCAGAAGCAATCTACTACAAGCAATGTTCCCTCTAAGGTGCATGCATGGGCAGGTGCACAGAGCTCCATTGGCACCATAAAGTGGCAGCCAGGGTCAATGCCTGTTTAGTTGTGGGTTTCAGATGAAGCTGTGCCCCACACACAGACAGGTGAGGCTCCCACATGGTGGGGATGACAATTGGAATGTTGACCACAAGAAAGATCCAGAAGAGAACAAACTCTACTGGTTCCCAGCTGGGACTGCCTGTCCTTTCCACTCCTCTCAGACAGGATAGTTGTGGATGTTGACCCGAGAGAGACCCTCAAAGAAAAAACAAGAAATTGGGTATTCTCGGAGGTCACTCCACAACTGTGGAACCAGCTACCATCTGCTATTTGCCTGGCTCCCTTGTTGGGTACTTCTAAGAAACTACTTGACCTAGTTCTTTCAACAGGCATTTCAGAATATGCCACCTGTGAAGCCCACGTAATCTGTTACAGTCGGAATATAAGATTGCCACTAGAGATGGGAGCATTTGTACAGTATTTGTATATGAATATCCCCCCACAGATGCAGATGACGAGGATCCGGCCCCCTGGGGCCAGATTGGCCACTCACGATTTCGCCGCTGCTGTGAGCTCCATGGAGCCTTCCTATCTGTCCGTTGCTTGCAGTAGATTAGCCAGTCCTGGCAGAAGGCGGGATGACGAGCCTTTCTGCCAGGTCGCAGAGTGGCTAATCCATTGTGAGCACCTGTGGGGCAATATTCATATATGAATACCCAGTCTCTAATTGCCACCAGCTTAAATGCTCTAGTTATTACTTAGAACACTGTAGAATGTGTTTTAATTGTCTGATTATTCCTATCATGTATTTTTTTAATAGTTGCATTGTTTTTTATGATTTTTGATTGGTGGTTGTTTTATGCTATATTGTAAACTGCTCAGATTGGCAGTTGAATTGGATGGATGGATGGTTATCACCTTGCACCCACAACTTAAACTACTCACACACATCATAAATGGCCTTCAATCTATTCTTGACAAGAGTACATAACTCTCACAAGCCCTTGGTGTCAGGCCTGTATTTGCTTACAGGCAACCCCCAGTCTTAAGCAACTCTTGACACACAACAGGCTATGCAACTCTGATACAGAGGTGGAAAGTAAACCTTGCTACAAACTCAGATGCCATCCCTGCCTCCACACCTACTCTGGCAACACAATTACAGGTCCTAACAATGTCACATACTACATCACTGGTGTGTTTACTTATTCTTCTGCTAATGTGATCAATGCTGTCCTTTGCCAACAACGCCCTTCAGCACTCTACATAGGAATAACAAGTCAATCTCTACACAAAAGGACTAATGGATGTAAATCTGACATCAGGAATGGCAACACACAAAAATCCGTTTCAGAACATTTCAGTCTACCTGGATCTTCTTTGAGTGACCTGCAGGTCACCATTGGGGGGTAGGGAACTACAAGACTTGAAGGAGCAACAGCTGAGGTAAAGTATAAACGGATGCTAGAAACCCATTTAAGAGGCCTAAATATCCATCCAGTGTTTTCAAATCATTACCAATTCTGAAACCCTACATTGATTCTCATAGTTTCCCATTTGTGTCAACTATGCTATTGTTACCTTTTAGATTGATAACTGAAATTATTCACAACCTGATAGCGTATTCCATTAGTAATGAACCATTGTCACTTTGCCCATTATCTGTATCCACAGCTGGTCATGGGGCCAGGTATAAATATGACAATAATGTAGTCTTACTACATGGATATGATCCATGAAAACGTATATTAAAATATGGCAGTTGTTCCTTAAATACCAAAACACTTGTTTTTGTGTCTGAAAATTTTTTTTATGACATTCCAAAGTTGTTTTTTAAGTAGCTTTAGCTTGTTGTTTGCCTGGGATATCTGAGTGCTCTTGATCTATGAGAAATAAAGGTTTGCATGAATGTCTCACCATCAGGTACAGATGTTCATTCATAATAGTTAGAATAGTTTGTGTTCTTAGTGCTACACATCTTAATATCCCATAGCAATAAACTGTGATGCAACCCAACTTGTTTCCACAGAGCCTGAGGACTTGGAAGCAGAATTATTGGAAGAAACCAAGGAAAATAAATGCAAAATGGAAGTACTGCCTGTTGCTGCTGATGTGTGGGTCAAAGAAAGTAAAATAAAGGAAACCACGTAAGCCCTTTCTCCTTGTATTGTCTCCAACTTAGAAATTCCTTTACATGGGGCTAACGGTAAACTATTTTACATTACCTTTTCTTTTGGCTGTGATTAACTTTTACAGGTCACAAGATCATACTGATTATAGCCAGCGTGACAATGAAGATCCTCCTGCAGAAGATGGAATGTTTAAAAAAATGCCACTCAATGAAGAAGCATCAGTAGGTCAGCAAATACTTTTAAATAATCCAAAATGGGAATGCAGGTGCCTTGGGTATTTCTCTCTTTCTCCCTTCTGCCAGCACAAATAGGAAGATTTAGGCTGCAGTCCTCTATTCGTTTGTGCCATTGATCCAAGAACACTTATTTTCTAAGAAAATATACAGGATTGTAAATTAATATATATTAAAAATGTATTTAGAGGAGACTGGTAAATAATGTCCAGATTAATCTAGGAGAAAATTAATTATTAACAGACAACTGCCATACAAGAAGGGTCAGCTTTCAGACTGACTGATGAGTAGCACCAGTGTGTGCCTCAGGCACACTTAGTTTTGGATGATGGTTGATTAACTCAGCCACTGGAAGGGCCAACTGTGTTGGATGGGAAATCTTGGCCAAGAGGCCTGTGGAAACTTGAACTCACCTCTAAATCTCATTTGACTTTGGGCAGCAGCATTGTGAGTGACAGCCGGAGGACGGAGATCCTGTTGGCATTGCAATTTGTGTCAAATTAATGAAAATACAAAAAAGCAAAAGAATCTTCTCAATGAAATGGGTTTGTCATCTCACCATACATGTAGAACCCCCATATCCATGGGAGATTGGTTCTACAATCTACCATGGATACCTGAAACCACGGACAGGAATCCAATATATAAATGTAACATGCAAGCAGGCAGGAGAAAGGCCACAAGGGGGAGCCCTTTTGGGTTGTATATATGACTGCAGTAAAACATGGGAAAACAAAACCACTGATATCAGTCCTGTAGATACAGGGGTCCTACTGTACTACTCTTTAGGGGGGATTCCTAAAGTCATGAATTAGACTGGATACTTAAATAGCTCAGATATCAGTGCAATTTGCATGACAAAAGAAACAGTAAATAGAGATAGAGGTGAACAATGAAAAATGAAGACATCAAATACAGAGAATTAAACATTGTCCAAAACAAAATGAGAGAATCCAAAGAGAAATGGTGGTCCATATGATGTACAGAAAGAAAGAAGCTAGAGAAGATTGGCAATTCTTTAACATGTGTAAAAAGATCACCCATGAGTAGTGGATAGGAATACTTCTCTGATATTATCCTCAAAGGTAAAATCAGTTTGGTCTGTGTTAAAGAGCTGTTGGAAGATAACAACAGACAAACAGAATTTGTTGTTTCAAATGTTGTTCCAGACTGGAAATATAGAAATTCAAAATGTAGTACATCTGACAAAAACAGTGAAACTCCTAGAGTCAATTATGTTTTTGCTTTAAGTATTCAAGCTAATAGTGGGTGATGACTTTGATGTTTTAATAAATATTTCCAATCAAATGTACAGGACATGAATCATCCCTGAAGTTTCATTGAGATTGACACATTACTTTTTGGGTAATGTAACAAAAGTGAAAGTTCTCGGGGACTACAGGAAAATAAGATGAATAATCCATTTGCTTAAGGTTTTCTTGAAGAAATGGATGTGAATAGGAATGGCTGCTATGTTAACTATGAGATGCTCTTGACTTTGTCTCTACAAAGTCCAACACAGAAAGTTGATGGGGTTGTTGGTAAGACACATTCTAATTCAAGAGATAATACCGTATTGTTCTGTGTATACAGCCCCCCCAAGGTATAAGACAACCCCCTAATTTTTACTCTTGCTGGAGGCGGAGGAGCAGTCAGTGAGCAGCAACAAGAGGCACCAAGCGCCCCTAATGTTTATCCTTGCTGGAGGCGGAGGAGCAGTCAATGGGCAGCAACAAGAGGCACCGAGCACGGTTGCTTCTTTGCCTCCGTCTCTGCCTCCTGCTGCTGAACCCGCGAGTGGCGCAGGAGGAGGAGGAGGTGGAGATGGAGGCAAAGAAGCAGCCGCACTCAGCTGCCTCTCGCTGCTGCCCATCAACTGCTGCTGCCAGCGGATCGCTTCCTCCAGCTATCATCTCCTTCGAGCAGGGGACCAGGTGATGATCATCTCCTTCGAGCAGGGGACCAGGTGACGTCGTGAGGTGGAGGTAACCTCTGGCAGGAGGAGGAGGTGATCAGATGGCAGCAGCAGCAGTCAATGCGCAGCCATGAGTGGCGGCCAAGTGTGGCTGCTTCTTTGCCTCAGTCTCCGCCTCCTGCTGCTGCCTTCCATCTATAAAACGACCCTCAATTTTTCCTCTAATTATTTTAGGAAAAAGTGTCCTTTTATACACAGAAAAATGCGGTAATTGGAAACCTATACTTGCTATAAAAGCTTCCATGAAAGACGAAGATCAGCTAACAAAGGACACAAAAAGTGTCCTTTTATACACAGAAAAATACGGTAATTGGAAACCTATACTTGCTATACTGTAAAAGCTTCCATGAAAGACAAAGATCAGCTAACAAAGGACATTGAGATAAGAAAAGGAGTTTGGCAAGGAGCTTTTCAATTTGCACTTGCAGCCACCCATTCCCAGAAGATAGACAAGGGAATCACTCCTTCATGCGTTCATTTTCCTCTTACAAGATGAATTACCATGCCTACCCTCATAAGTGATTGGTACTGGCCTACATTTAAATAGATAAATCCCATGTTATCTCATGTAGTTTGAGTCTCAAAAGTGCACCTGACACTAATCGAAAGTGAAATTCAAATTATTTTTTATTGTAGGGGGAGATATGGAAAGGTTATTGTTATCATCAATTAGGGACTTTATACAACAGAATTTAAATACTGTATGAGCCAACAATTTTAATCAAAGGAGAAATATATATATTGGTTAAAAAATGAAGACCATCATATTAACACTTAGACTAGCAAATATATTTATTGGAAGAATTATACAACCTGGCTGGAATAAAAGCTAGTGATTTCCTCACTGGCAAAAAGATAGCACTACACTTGAGGAGAGGGGGCTAGTTTAGGGGTCACAGGCCAGAATGAGCTTGGCATTCAGCCCTGGCTTGCAAGTGCATTGCTGTTCCAACCCTTTAGTATCTGCACCCTGGAAGTGCTTCAAGCTGCCTAATCATAGGGCAGGTCTTGGCAATAGTACCTTCTCTGTCCCTGGCTCCTGGCATGCTAAATAGAAAGACAGGATCTATTCTGCCTTTTCTGATTGCTTTATTATATTTGGAAGCTGCCTTTATTCTAAGAAAAAAACGATGACTAAACCCAGAACTGGTTTACATTTCTAAGCTGTTCTAATTTGACTCCAGTTTCTGAATGATGGAGAGTAAATAATGGGATCTTTATCCAAGCAGAGGGTTGACCAGCGATTGTAACTGACTCTTGCTTTCAAAAGTTCTGTAGGGGAACCAGGTTATGAGGAAAAAGGAGAGAGACATTTTGATCCAGCAGCAGTAGTAGTGGTTTCTAACATCCATTCCTTTTGCCTCAGAAGGCTGCAGTTTCTAATTTGCCGAATTAGTTTTGTGTTAAAACAGCAAACTCTATTGGAGTCGATAAAACATTTTTAGTATTAATCTGAACATAACATTACTGCATGTAATAACCAGAATCTGAACAAAATCTGAGAATAATAAAATGAAAGACACTGGGGAGTTTTCAGATCTGCTTAAAAACTGATACCTTGTTTTGGTAGCAGTTTATTTATATACATATAATTCACGTTTTTCATCAGTAGCTTTAAAATAAGCTAATGTCAACTGAACAACCAGTTTCTGTGCTTAATTTCAAATTGTACCTTCCAGTTATGTTCACTAAAACTACTTACACAGCTTCATGTGTTTGTAAAACTGTAGTTTTGACTTGCTTTTTTCTTGATTACACCAGAGTCCAATGATTCTATGCAACCAGAACCCTTTTTCCAGAAGGTGGCACAGCACCAAGCAAGATTAACAGCTTTTCCAGTTCTCTCAGCACAGTCTTCCCTTGAAGATTCTCTTCCAACAAGATCACGCTCTGTATCCCCTGAGAAGACAAAAGGCAAAAATTCGCTGTTGATAGGCCTTTCTACAGGTCTCTTTGATGCAAACAATCCAAAGGCAAGTGTAAAAAATGTTGTAGCATTACACTATATTGTACACCTTGTTCTCCAACAAAAACCTTACAACTGGAAACAGATGTATCTTGTTTTATGTACTCACTGGTTCAGTCACAGAAAATACCACAAAAGAGTAGATTAAGTTATTATTGTACAGTAAAAAAAATCTGGGTAAGAACTGATGCACAGCTTTTATGCAAGGAAGTACATACTGTGTAGTTACATAGTCTTTATTCAACTGTGAATTTGACATTCTGTACAAAGTTTGCACATTTCAATCTTTATGACTGTTCATTGTGCAAATCGGGCTACATGTGGCTCCTTTCTTATCTAATTAAAACTAGAGTTCGGTACCTTAACTCTTCTGACTGAATTCTGAAGTCTTCAGTTTGCAAAGAAACATTTCCAAGAACTTGACTTCCTTCCTTTTTTAAGTAGAGATTGTTACCTGAGCATGGAAACTATATAATAGTTCAGCTTTTTGTGCTGTCTCCCCCACCACCCTGTTTCTTCTGTACCCTAAAGCAAATTGAAAGGAAGTTTATTATCATAACTATTTTCAGATACATGTACACTTTATTTTTTTTTAGAAGCCTCATAAGTCAGAACTGATAAGACTGACCAGAATCTCTTTTCTTTATGCAACACATGTAAATCAAATAGTATAAATCATAATAATGAATTGCGAGTAGTTAAGAAATCAGTGATCATTTTGTAACAAGTCATGCAATGGGTGTGTGAGACAAAGTGGACAAATGTTGACTTAACTAGTAGCAATTCATTGCTACAATTTATACCATTTGACTTATGCCATCATATGTAAGCAAAAGGATCCTGGCCACTTTTCTTTTCAGGTCGATTTTGTTTCATGCTGTGATGTGCTCAGTAATGCAATCTTTCTTTTCAGTTGTTGAGAACATGTTCTCTCCCAGATCTTTCCAAGCTATATAGAACGTTAGTTGATGTCCCTAGTGTTGCTGACGTACAGAATCAAGAGAATCTTGAAATAGATGATATAGAAGATGAACCTGTCAAAGAAGAACATTCTGATTCTGAAGATATGTAAGTAAACAAGACAAAAATGTTGAAATAATTATCCAACATATTGTGGGGGTGGTGAGTCTGAATTTTAACCCGAACGTTAAAATTATTATCCATTTCTGGTCCTACTTCTAAAAATTACAGTGAATTCATTGTCCCACACTGTTGGAGTCACAAGCCTCTGCTTATCTATCCATAAAAAGCATGAAGTTTTAAAACTTAAGTCTTTAAGGTACATTGTAACTACATTTAAAAACAAATTACAATGTAGCGTTTTGGTGGCCTTCCTCAAAGAATGAAATAAAACCAGTGCTACATTGTGAATAGCAGTGGGAGTGGAGAGTCAGAAATAGAAAAAGACCTTTTCTCATTTTTGCAGCTCTAAGTTACATGAAACACTTGAGAGGGTTTTGGGGGTGCTAAAGCCCCCACAATTCTGCCTGGGGCAATTCCAACAGACTTTTGGCTGCTGTAGTCTAAAAAAATCAGAAGTCCCATTCCTAATAGTGTATCTTGATTTCAGCAAATATTTTGTCAGTCAGTGAGACCTGCCAGCCCTGATTCGGCCAGCAGATCCTCCATTCTTGAATCTATATATTTCAGACCAACGTGTTGAAACAGAACAGGATTTATTGAACTTGAGAGCAAGTGAACAACAACCATTTTAGTATACAGTCAGCCTTCCTTGACCTAGTTCCTGACACCAGCCTAAGGTCCTTTAAACTGGTTGCATTTTCTTTTGCCCCTGATCTTTTTCCGCTGCTGGCACAGATGAAATGCTGGGACTTCTGTTGGTGTTCCAGTACACCTCTTAAGATAGTCACTGCCTCTTCAACGGAAGCAGGTTGGTGACTCCTCACCCAGCTACATAGGATGGAGCCTGAAGTAACCACCAACTGCTCCAATACCACCAATTCGATGACCTCCCCCAAAGCCCACACTGCTGGTTTCAACCAAGTTGCATGTGCTTTCACTCTCCGGGTCAAGGCTCTAGGATGTAAATCTGGATGAAGGTGAAGTTCTATAAATCTTTGCTGGTACACTTCCAATAAGTTAATCATGGAATGCCAGTGGGGTTTGCTCCTGCCATTTCTTAACATCATCTGAGTTTGGGTTCTTTGTTGTTCCAGTAGTACTCTTTGTATCATTTTCAGTATTCATCTTAATACAAATTAAGGTCAAATTTGTTTGTCACTTTTTGCAGCGTAGTTAAAGTCTGCTCCCTTCAGACATGTCCCATATCACATCAGCAATGTGTAGATCTTACCATTGTTTATTTTCCGTAACAGTGATGGAGTGGGAAATTGTTGCAGTAGGTAAGCAGCCTCACGATCAAGCATCAGCGTATTGTCTGTGTAATTTTTTTTCTGCAGTATCCACGAAACAATGGTACTACATGGCTGACCCCTTGAAATACCCGGGTTGTCTTTGGTCAGAAGTGAATTATTGCCTATGCTAAAAATATGATGTACAGTTTTAATCTGATTTTTTTTAAGAAAAAAAACTATGTAAAGTAATGACATGAAAACCTTTTGCCTTGCAGTATGTTTGGGGAGCCAGATACAGATTTGCAGGAACTTCAGGCTTCAATGGAGCAATTACTCAGAGAGCAACCTGGTGATGAATTCAGTGAAGAGGAAGAAGCAACTTTAAAAGCTAAATGCCTAGCAAATGGTACAGAGGTGGATGAGGATGACAACAATCCTAGTAGTGAAAGTGCCCTTAATGAAGAATGGCATTCAGGTATATCTCTGTACAGACTAAGAATGATGGCACTAAAAGGTTTTGCCTTAGAGGTAGTTTCTGTCTGAGAGGCTATTAAAAACAAGAGACCCTGCTTGCTGTGGATAAGTTCCACAAGCTGGAAATAAAAAGTACTAAAATAAGTTTTACAAAGTGTGCATATGTTATTGTATTTATTAATCTAATTTATTTAATGGAAATTACATTCTGTGTTAGTTAAATTCATAGCTAATTTGTGGTAGTATTGCCCAGGTTCCATTTTCTTCTGTGAAGTACACATTAGAAAAGTAAAAAGTAGGAACCACATTCTGATGTAGGTGTAATAATACATATAGCACAAGCATTCCTAACCTAGATCATATTAAAACCCACTCTACACTAAAGATGTAAATCTGTGCTCGTTTCATTCTTGCAGTTTGGAACAGATAATTTGAGAAGTTTTCCCTGCAGGTTAGAGTTGCAAGAGGTTTTGTGCATTTTCCATATTTTAAGCCTTTACAGGGAGAAAAACTTGCAGTTTGCACCAAAACTTTGGGATTTTGTACAAAAATTCGAGATCCTTGTGCCACATATTCCCCCTTTTTGCTCATGCTGCTGCTGACAAAAAAAAGTATTGGTCTTTTCTTCTTGTGTATCGGAAGCAAAAAAAAAATCTCACAGCAATTTTATCTTTTTCATAAAGGATGAAATTTGTGAGTACTATATTAATTTCATTCTCATTCTGTACCTATTACCTCATCTTCAGAATCTATAGATTCCTCACAGTGTTTTAACTGCTTTTATACATGTGTAGTGCAGCATTCTACAGGCAGAGGATGGATGCCTTAATGCAATTCCATGTGATAACCAGTTTGTGCAAAGTATAGAAGGCTGCCAAAAGACCTGCATAGCCTTTATAAGTTCTTTCCTATTTTATGGGACAAATACAAATGTACTAGTTAGATAGACAGGCCTTACAGAGAGTACTTCATTCTGGCTTTCTATAGCAATTAAGAATCGACATAAATATATTTTGCTTCTAAATTATATCAGAGGATTACTTTGCCTGAGATGCTGTGTCACTAAATTTCTTCAGTATAATTTTAGGTAGGCCTAAATGTGATAGAAGTAAGTGGTAAAGATCTGGTGCTACCACTGGCAGCACATGCGAACCAGCTCATATAATTCTGCTGTACAACTGTGGGATAGCTCAGTGGTTTTCTACTTCTCCCCATTTCTACATCGTCCAATTCAGAATGCCTGTTTTATGAAAAATGTCTGGTTGTCTAGGATAGGCTGCAGTAAACACTAAAGGGGCTCAAGGATGCTTGATGTAAATTAGCAATTACTTTATGCACAGACTTGTTTTGAAAGAATAGTTGCAAATGCAGTGGGGCTATCTGTAATGTAATTAGTTCTCCTTGAATATACCATAATTCTAAAATGATTGGAAAGTGTCCTAGCTAACAGATTCTCAGAATGCATTAGCCAGAATCCAAGGTGGTGGGTCTGCTGGTGGATCCCCCTCTAGTGGGATAATACATTCTAATACATTGGGGTAATACCTCTAAGAGAGGTAATCTCCCTTGTCTCTACAGGCATCAGTGTATTCCCCGAGTCTTCTCTACTATGTTTGCATATTCTTTGGAGCCAGATTTAGACTGCACAGGAAAGAAGAATTTCTATTTCCCTGAAAGCCTAGTGCTAGGTTACTGTTTCCAAGATGAGGCAGTACACTAGGCACCTGTATTACATTACCTCAGCATATATACAAGTACAGTACACAATAAAAATATAGAAAGCAGACTTGGCTGTTATTATGGTCTCTTCAGAATTTTGATTCTAAGTAGCAAAGAGCATGTACAAAGGTGGAATATACATTACTACAAAAATGATGAAATGTTACTATGTCCTATATTTGTTTCGTAGATGACAGTGATGGTGATAATGCTAGTGAATGTGAAGAGTGTGATAGCATCTTCTGTCATTTGGAAGAGCTGAGATGTGAACTGGAGCAAGAAATAGGTTTTGAAAAATTCATTGAAGTTTATGACAAAATAAAGGTTTGTAGAATGTTTATTCTGAAGAAAGTAGAAAAACACTGAGATTTATAAATAAGAAACAATTATTACAAAATAGGAATTGTGCTTTTTATCCAGAACATAAGTTAGTTTTTATGGGGCATATTAGGTGTCTGGATAGTTTGACAAGAGAAAGTGATGTAAAAATAAAAGAGCAGCAGTTACATTTCATTCTTGATCACTTTTTATTATTCCAAATAGCACATTTCTGTGCCTTTTCTTGTAGGCTATACATGAAGATGAAGATGAGAACATTGATATTTGTTCAACAATTGTTCAGAATATTTTAGGAAATGAACATAAGCATCAATATGCAAAAATTCTCCATTTAGTCATGGCAGATGGAGCTTATCAGGAAGGTAAAGTATCTGAAAACTGTTATTTCCACAAGTGCTTGTGCCCTCCAGTGTAATGCTGAATAAAAATCTGTATCTTTACAATTTAGGTACCTTGACAAATTTCAGGATCAAACCGAGTCCCATTTTATGATGTTGCTAACAAAATCACATTTGTCCGATAAATGGTCAAATTTCAATCACACCTCCCTTCAATAATGTTGAGTTTAGGGGTGCCAGACCCCTATGTAATTCAAAATCGATGTACAGTAACTCTTATACCCCCCCAATAACTTCTCTTCCATAGCATTGACAGTTGTTTCCATATATTACTGAGTATAATGGGCCTTAAAGGTCCTTATGACCCCCTGATCTAGAGATGATTTAGAGATGTTGTGTTTGAGGGCTAGTAGACCACCTTGAGACCTTTGGTGTTGAGCTCATGGTTCTGGGTGGCCAGAGACACAATATTTATTACATGTATATTTATTGAATATTTATCTATTTATTGATAAAAAAATCCATGTATAACCAAAGCCATGCTGCTCAAACCCATTCAATTCAAGGAAGAAATTTAACTGCATTTTTATTAATATCTGACTAGATAGGAAGATGTGCAAATATTGCTGGCAAAGAAATATGCTGAAATTATTGTTTTTTTCTACAGTATATCAGCTTGGTGCAGATCCAGATCTTTCACTGAATGCTGCTCTACTTTACATTAAATATAGTTTAATCTCTGAAGTTTTTAGCAGTAGAAGAAATACATCAGTAATGGCAAGTTATCAGATGAAGTTAAACCAATCAGGCATCAGAAAATAAGGAAGATTTACTGTTAATTTAGTATATAATATTCATACATTGCACTCTCAGTAAAGGATCATTACTTTTAGCCTAGGTTTTCTAAAAAGCTGAATATTGTTAAAATGCCATCATCATACTAAATATTTCTAATTCTTCTTTTTCTGCAGATAATGATGAATAACATGCCTTGGCAACCAACTCAGTGAAATATAGGTGTATTACCTGTAAAACAACAAGGCACAAATGAAAAATAAGTTTATTGGGACAAGCTTAAGGTGTTGCTGCTTGCATAGAGATGGAAAAGCATTATACTTTCCACTGAAAGGTTGTTCATAGATTTCTTTTGACATTTAGCTTCATTCTTTCAACAGATAACTAAAAAGCTACCTCTGATTTAAAATTAATAACAAAGAATTGAAAGGCTGACTCAGACGTTATTTACTGTTTGAGAGTTTATCATGTATGAATAAGCCCATGTTATATTAGCTGCTGCTATTTGTTTAAATCTGAACAGTTAAAAGAAAACCAAAATAAGAGGACCTTTGACTTTGCTTTCCATTCAAGATAACTTATCATTTCTCAGAAACTGTTTCCTTGATCTTAAAAACATATGGAAGTAACTCTCACTGAAATCAGTGAAACATTTCCATTAAATAGTATGTTTAAGGTCAAGATATTTTAAATATTTCACTGTTTGTGTGTGTACATACATATGTGCATATAATCAATAATAATATTTAGAATTCTCAGTATTTTTGCCATGACTAATTTACAATTATTTCTTCCAAATCAAAGCAGATAAGTGCACCATTTTCAATACTTGAAGTTGTTTCTGTCAAGTGGAGTAAAGAATGAGCTTGGATAGCGTATGCCATTTTCTACCATTCAGTGTGAAGTTGCATTTTCCTGTAGTACTGCATACTCAGTTAAACTGCTGCTCACATTTTTGGTCTATAATTTGGATAATATTAGGAATGACTGAAAATAGAATTAATACAAACGTTGTGCTGCTGATGTTTGAAAACAATGTGTTTATCTTGCACCCAGTTAATCTAGAGGACATAATTTGAGTTTTCCTCATTTTTCAATGTTTGCCCTGAGAGAAGAATAAGCACTTCTTGTGAGGTCATAATCCTGAGACAAAGGCTTTAAATATTTCTGATATGCAAGAGGTAGTTACAGAAGCTTGCTGAATTGGCTGTAAGATTTAATGTGCAGTTATTCCATTGAAAAAATAGACCTTTACCTCACCTAATAACAATGCAAAGTGGAAAGTATATACGTGAATTCAGTTATACTAGCACTAAGATGTAAATATGTTTTATTTTTAACAACACAATAAATGCTTGACCTTTTTCTATGATTGACTTTTTAAGTTGTTCTTTTTATTAATGTAACTAATGAAATTTTCCCATACTCATCTTCAGAGGAAAGAAAGGTATTTTTGGAAGGGGGAAGACTAAGAAAAGGATGAACATTAAGCATTTTACATAGATCTGCATAACAAATTGTACAAAAATGTCTGTAGCTTATTGCTTATTTCCCAGAACACAAAGGGAACCCCTATCATGAAATGGTGATACCAGGTTCCTGTAAAATGAGTGATGCCATCATCTTCCTATATAGCATTTTCCCTAAACATACGTAGAAATGCAGGCCAAAGTAAACTACTCTGAAGGCAAAACAAACACAGATATTCTGTGTCTGATGTGTTCAACGTATAGGATATCAAACTGAAAACAAGTGGAACAGCCACTGTGAATGCTGAGTACACTGGGAGCACACAATCATTGTTGCATGTTTCAGGCAATAAAAATCACAAATGTCAAAGCATTTAGAATGAATTAGAGAATCTAAAAACATATGGAACTTTATGGGTAGTGCTGCATTATGCCTTTCATCAATAATGATCAAAATATGCAACATTGTGCAAAGGGATGAGAAGCACCAAAGGATGATTTTTGGTGGAGCCTAGTACATCATGTAATTTATTAAATTTCTCAGTGCTGCAAAATACATCCCTACTATCCTCCATTGCAACCTTCCTCACTAGCTGCTACTTAGATTTGGAAATCGTTGTTGCAGTATTTCAGAACAAAGGAGAACTCTAGATTCTTTACCCTAAAAACTTCAACATCAGAATGTAAACTAACCAGACTGGCATTAAATAAATAAATAAAAAATACCAAGAATGTTGCCTTTAATAAGATTTTTGAGTGCACTAATCAAATTATAATACTGTAGCACTTTTGTTACATTTATTACATATAGTCATGGCCAAAAATCTTGGCACTCTTGCATTTCTGTCAGAACATGTAACCATTCTCTTAGAAAATTGTTGCAGTTGCAAATGTTTTGATACTCACATGTTCATTTCTTTGGTTTGCATTGGAACAACAAAAACAGAAAAAAACTCAAATCTGATGCAATTCCACACAGAAACCCAAAAATGCATTGGCCAAAATTATTGACACCCTTAACTTAATATTTTGTAGCACCCCCTTTGGAAAAAAAACTGAAATCAATCACTTCCTGTAACCATGAATGAGTTTCTTACACCTCTCTATTGGAATTTTGGACCACTCTTCTTTTGCAAACTGCTCCAGGGCCTTCAGATTTGAAAGATACCTTCTCCCAACTGTTGTTTTGAGATCTCTTCACAGGTGTTCTGTGGACTCATTGCTGACCATTTCAAAACTCTCCAGCACTTTGTAACCATTTCTGAGTGCTTTTTGAAGTGTGTTATGGCTCATTGTCCTGCTGGAAGACCCATGACCTCTGGTGGAGATGCAGCTTTCTGACACTGGCCACTACATTGCACCTCTAAATTCTTTGGTAACCATCAGATTTCATGATACGGTTGCCAGAAGCAACAAAGTAACCCCAAAGCATCTTTGAACCTCCACCATGTTTGACTGTAGGGACTGTTCTTTGAATGCCTCATTTCTTTTTCTGTAAACAGTGCCATGATGTCCTTTACCAAAAAGCTCTACTTTTGTCTCATCTGTCCACAGTATGTTCTCCCAGAAGGATTGTGGTTTTGTCACATAAGTTTTGGCATACTCCATTCTAGCTTTTTTATGCCTTTGTGTCAGTAGTGGCGTCCTCCTGGGTCTCCTACCATAGCATCCCTTTTCATTCAGATGGTGACAGATAGTGCAAGCTGACACTGTTGTACTCTGTGTCTGCAGATCAGCTTGAATTTGTTTAGAAGTTAATCTGGGTCCTGTATCCACCATTCAAACAACCCTTCATTGTAGTTTTTCAGTAATTTTGTTCTTCCGTTCACGTCCAGGGAGGTTAGCTACAGTGCCATGGGCGGTAAACCTCTTGATGAAATTGTGCACAGTGGACACAGGAACATTAAGATCTTTGGAGATGTATTTGTAGCCTTGAGATTGTCAATGTTTTTCCACAATTTTTTCTCTCAAATCCACAGACAACTCTTCACACTTCATTCTTTTCTCCATGCTCAGTGTCATACACAACACAAAGGTTGAGTCAACTTTTCTCCATCTTAATTGGTTGCAAGTATGATTATTATATTGCCCATACCTCTTACTTGTGACAGGTGTGTCTAAATACAAATTAAAGGAGCATCACATGCTTGAAAAGCAATTATTTCTTACAATTTAGACAGGGTTTCTGTGTGGGATTGTATCTGTTTTTTGTGTTGTTCCAATGCAAACCAAAGAAATGAACATGTGAGTACCAAAACATTTGCAACTGCAACAATTTTCTGCATATTTAAAAAGAATCACAAAAACTTTATTCTATATTTAATTAAAGACTTGTAGTATGGTATTTACATTGTTCTTTGTAGAGCTAGAAATACTGTGGTAAAATAATGAAATACAAGATGTTTTGTCATCTCTGTATAGCAGACAGCAAAATGAAACTGAGTTGGTGCTATAAATTGTACTTTCATGGTCTGTTCCACATGCTAGCAGAGCAGCAAAGTGGAGCCAATAGGTTATGTCAATTTTAATTTACTCAATCCAGGAATGTGTTCTTGCCACAGATGCTTAGAGAAATATATTGAGCGTTTGTGGGATTCAGTATTTGATAAGATACCTTTGAACATCTTTCAACAGCATTAATATCACAGTTTTGTATTCTAGAAGATGAGATACTAAGGATTTTTTTTCCTTTTGATACAAAATATTGTGTTTGTGATCAGTGCACTTGTGAGGAAGAATATGTGTGTTGCTGGATAGCTCAGTAGTTTAGGTATCTTGCTGTGGAGCCAGAGGTTGAGTTTGATAGCACTTTTCAAATACTTGAAAGGTAGTCATACAGAGGGGGGACAGGATCTGTTCTTTATCATTCCAGAGTGCAGGACATGTCATAATGGGCTCAAGCTATAGAAATCCATATTTAGGCTGAATATCAGGAAAAACTGCTTAACTGTTACAGTAATTTGACAATGGAACTAATTACCTCAGGAGGTGATGAGTACTCCAATGCTGGAAGCATTCAAGAGAAAATTGGGCAACTGTCCATCAGATTTATTTTTTATCTGGATTCCCACATTGAGCAGGGGGATGGACTTGATCAACTCATTTATTCCATGGTTACCCACTGTGCTTCCTATGAGTAGAGTCAGCCTGTGTGTCCTTGGGCAAGCTGTACAGTCCCAGGGTGCCCTCAGAAGAAGAGGTTGGTACACCTCTTCAGAGTATTCTCTCCCTGGAAAACCCTAAAAAGGGTCACCATAAGTTAGAATTGACTTGATAGCACATTGTTACTATTAGGTATGTGTTATACTACATACATACACAGCGGCGTCGACCTGCCCGACATCTGCCGGTCCGCTACGTGGTCTAATGCCTCTACCTTCATAACCCACTACAGATTGGACGTGAGGGCAAAAGAGGAGACCAGATTCGGGAGGGCAGTGCTAGCATCGGCTCTTCAGTGACAGCCCACCATCCGGTTAGTAAGCGTGCTAATCACCCTTTGTGTGCATTCACAGAAGACCACAATGAAAAAAGAAAGGTTACTTACCTGTAATGATGGTTCTTCAAGTGGTCATTCTGTGAATTCACACAATCCCGCCCGGACTCCCCTCTGTCTGTCTGTCACTGGCATCTCTATGACTCGAGGGCCTATGGCGGACAAATGGAACTGAGGGACGGTTAGGCTGGGCGTGTGCAGTAGGGGTAGTCCTAAACATTGTTACTTTTCTCTTGCAGCTAGAGAATGTTCCGAGAGGCCCAACGCTGGCGCTGGTATTAACCCTTTGTGTGAATTCACAGAATGACCACTTGAAGAACCATCATTACAGGTAAGTAACCTTTCTTTTCGAATTGTGGTGGTGGAGGAGACGCTTGAGAGTCCCCTGGACTGCAAAGAGAACAAACTTTCCAATTCTGAAGGAAATCAACCCTGAGTGTTCACTGGAAGGACAGATCCTGAAGCTGAGGCTCCAATACTTTGGCCATCTCATGGGAAGAGAAGACTCCCTGGAAAAGACCTTGATGTTGGGAAAGTGTGAAGGCAAGAGGAGAAGGGGATGAAGAGGACGAGATGGTTGGACAGTGTCATCGAAGCTACCAACATGAATTTGACCAAACTCCAGGAGGCAATAGAAGACAGGAGGGCCTGGCGTGCTCTGGTCCATGGGGTCACGAAGGGTCAGACATGACTTGACGACTAAACAACAACAGTATTATACTTAACAATCTGAACAGCTGAAAAAAACACATTTTTCTTATTGCAAATAATAATCAGTTTAATCTATTTGGTTTATGAAAAACAGTCTGCTAAGTGAACTCTAGTTCTGCCATGCTATAAAAAAATCATACTGGGCCACAAATAAACCTGATAATTAATGTTTAGGAACATGAAAATGAATAGTCTTTTTGTATGTTTACAGAGAATCCTAAGAACTAATTTTCTATCAAAAATAATTAGATCGACATTTGAATAAGAAATCAATTTGACCCAGTATGGGGAGAGATTGTCTCACAAGAAATAATGCATACTCGTATATAATTTTGCTAGTCCAAGAGGAGAAGACAAGAAATAATGGGGGAAGAAGGGGAACTCGTATAGCAGCTACTGTATGAGGAACTACCCATATGTGGGCCAATTCCAACCCCACAGTGCCCTTGGATCTTGCCCACAACCTCTTCTCCCCCTTCCTTTAAGATGGATTGCTTCCATGGGCAACCATCCAACTACCCACTTAGGAGCAGAGCCAAATGATACAACAAAATAATCACATCTACAGCTGGCAGCACTGACCTGCATGACCAGAGGTGTCATGACGTTCTAGTTTAAAGTTGTGTTTTAGAAAAATGTACATCCATGTCTATTCAAAACAAAGTGTGTGGGAGAGTAA